TCACACAGTGTCTGTACATTGTACTGCTGCACTACGGTGCCAGAGGAATGATCTTCGACATAAAGGAGGTTGCGGACAGTTTGATGTGGCAAGAGAACAACATCATAGAGTAAGAAATCAGTAATATCAATCATGGCATGGACCATGACACCGTCGTTCCACACCTCCCAATGGTCAGAGGCGTGTACAATAGCCATGTAATGGCCAGGCCCATGCACAATGCAGGCAGAGATGCGGGATGGAGGATTAAACAACTCACCTGGTAGAGCATGGCGTAGTTCAAGCTGGCAGTTCCTCATCGCTATTTCTAGGACAGCAATGGTATACTATCACATAACTACAAACTATATATATATATGTATATATGGGTGGTTTTTTGGCCCGCCCAGTTTACCCGGGCGCCCCCCCCAGGCCCAACTGGCCAGGCAGGCCCGGCCGGGCGGCGTCCTCACTCTGAAATTATGCCAAAAAAGGGCAAGAAACCGAAGTCCAAAGAGGAAGTCCTACGTCAACCCCTGTTCAGGAACCCATGTGTAAGGGATGCAGGGGGGCACCCACTGTCACGTACAAATGGGCATCGATGGCTCTCTTGGATCAGACATGGGGTCTGGCGTGTCAGTCACATTTGGGATGAAGACGGGAAAGATTGGATCGGTGAGGAACAGCTGAGAACACGCCTAAAGGGCTGTCACCACCAGGATGAGAATCTGGCAACAATAAATTCCGGTCAGCTGGAAGGACCCGCTAAGGGAGGACTTCTCTTGGAAATCAGGGGAGTGGGGAGTTCTGATCCGGGAAACGATACCACAGAGAGCCTATCAATTTTATCGCAGATCTCCTGGATCAGACTTTGCAGGAGTCTTCACCTCCCAACCCCAATACCCTAACAATCCACAACATTGATCCTAAAGAAGAGACCCTGAACTCATATACTCTTCGAAAAGTAAGGACACTGGGTACCTGGCCGAAGACTATATTAGCAATTCAAGATTTAGAATTTGACCCAGACGAATGGCCCTGGACCTCATGCAGTAACAGAGCATATAAGACTCTCTGGGGATACAGACTACTACTGAAAACAAAGGACCCAAAGCCTGTAATAAAAGAAAGATGGACGAAACTGCTAGGACAGAGAATGGAACCAATCTCCGAGTTGCCCTGGACGAAATACAAATCAATACGCCCAGTCAAGATCAGAAGTCTTCAATGGTTGATCACATATAATGCCCTCCCAGTAAACTCTTGGCTACACGTCCGTAGAAAGAATAGCGACCCAAATAGTTCAGAACAATGCGTGGTCTGTCCGGGCGACGAACAAGAAGATTTAATTCACTGTCTCATAACCTGCAAATTCGCTACTGAATTATGGGCGAGAGCCTCAACACTCTGGGACTCCCTCTTTCCAACACCCGATCCAATTACTTTTATGGACTAACATCCCAGCCCAATTTACTAAATCTGAACGCATCTGGTTTGGGATAATCAGGAAGGTAACACTTTGGGTCATTTGGAAGGAAAGGTGCTGCAGGACCATCGAGATGTCAAGCAACCGAGTGAACAGATATGGCCAATGACGAAACCTCTAATGGAGACGGAGATCCGATGCCAGTGGAAGAAAGTCACACTCCAAATCCAACAGGACCCGGAGAAGCGGCAAGAGCTAATATCAAAGTTCAAGAAAATCTGGCTGGCCCACGGAAAGATCGTGGAGATTCACGGATCGCAAATCAGATGGCAAGACTGGCATAACTCGGTGGCTGCCCAGGGGACACAATTTACATTATGACCAAGAGCAAGACTTCAGAGCAACATGACATGATCCAATGTTATATCAGTTCTGATCTTTGCTTCCCTTGTTTTATCGATGTACTAACTGATTCCCCGCAGAGGGATCAGAGAGGAGATTTGAGAAGGGACTCAGGGATAGGCAAGCTGACAGTCAATCCTCCAATCCTCATTACCGATCAGGAACCTTTCCAGCAGAAGACCCAGGCACTTGAGGAACCAGTTCTAGTTTGTGCCTCGAAGAAATATACGCGCGACAGGTGGAAGCCGGTGCTTCACATGGAACACATGGAAAAGGATTAATCTTCTTTAGGGTGTAGGGCTGAGGGTTGGGACATGAACAAGACAAGCAGGGGCTAAAATTCAAAAGAGTTCACAATGCCTACCTGTAGGGCTTAGGGTTTTGACCGCATTGGTAGCAGATGTTGCTTCGTAGACCTTTCTTGCTCTACACGTTGTATCTGACAGGTTATTATAGTAATCCTGAGAGGAAAGGTGTAAACAGGGCAAGCTGACAGTCAATCCTCCTCGTTGTTGGAGTAATCAATGCTGATCAGGGTTCCTTCGGCCAGACAGAAGGAAGCGTGGGTGACTTCTATGATGTAATATTCTCATGACTTGCCGGTGGAATAGGAACCGGACTGATGCTCCCCAGAATGGAAATGGAGCCAGGACCATAAGGACCTGTTTAAAAAAAAACTGAAAAAAAAAAATTAAAAAAATAAAAAATAAAAGAATCCCAGTTAGGCATGCTATAAACCTACAGGTCTCAAACAAACAGGTCAAGAGTTTAAGGCCTGATTACTGACTCTTCCCTAAGCCCTTCAAGCAGGTCAAGATTTCAAGGTTCAAGAGTCTTAGAGACTTACACTAAATCCTAGGTTCGCAAAATACTCCTCCACAGCTTCAACTGGTCCATGATAGACAACACGCCCGCCTTTTGCTAGAAACATGACGTCATGGAACATTCTAAAAATAGTATAACTGCATCACAAACACCAAAAACCAGCGCAGACAGAAACAGGGCATACAAAAAGCATTGCAAGGCCAAGGGTGTCATCAGCGTAACAGAACCTCTCACAATTTCGCATCAGCCTGTACAGCAAGCAGTGAACATGGAAGTTATTATATTTACTTCTCTTAGTTTTTTTTGCATTGATCTCAAGCATTCGCACCAATTGTCACAAAACGGCAAGTGCACATGTTGTCACACAAAGGGTCTTGCTCCACAACTCTCCACACTCCAAAAAAATGGAGAGTATTTGGAGAGCTGTCAGACTCTTCAAAAAGGCCGAAGTGCATCACCGATCCACTTACTCTCCATCCAAGGAATCTCCAAATCGGTTAGTACTCAGAGAGCACAAAGAGACATCTCCAAGAGCACAAGCATACATCTGCAAGTCCCTGTTTGTCTGCCCAGACTCCAGTGTGGTATGCACGGCTCCCACACGGGCCCCTTGGGAGCCTGACCTTTGTGTAGGGGGCACACGATGTGAGTTTGCTCAGTTTTGTAATCAGACTCGTCTCATTCACACTTTTCATGCGTGTAAACAGAAGCACAGCAAACTGGCGACATGCGCCCACACAATACTCAGAGATATGGCTTCCAGGTAAGAGTTCACTTCCACTGGCTATGGCGACTCAGCGCCCAACAACCCACTGTTCACACACACTGGACCACCCTGGATATCTCACACAGGACACTCCGAACGCTCACACAACACACACACCTCGCCGTAAGCTACAGCTATGGCAGCGCTGACTGCCTCTACCCTATCGCTATGGCTACCCTTCGTCACTCTTGCCCACTTCGACTTTGGGCCGGCTGCAGACCTCCTCGCACAAGATGCTGAGACAGCGCTTCCGCATGGCTTCCGCAGGAATGAATGAATGGCTGTGCGCGGCCTCTTGATTTATACTTCTGTGACTCGTTGGTCTGCCCTGTTTCCCTGGCCCATGGTGCACACAGTCCCAGGCGGTACTTGCTTGACTGGACCGGACTGACTGGACTGGGACTGCTGACTCTGCACGGTGGACTTCCACCACTTGCYCACTTGCCTTGACCTACAGTGGGCTGACTCCGAAAGGCCACTTCCAGAAACATCTACTTGGCCTTTCGGTACTGTAGCAGCTACGACTCTGCCCTTTCAGGTGAGTAGCAGCTACGACTTTGACCCTTCGGAAAATCTACAGCTAAGACCTCTGGACTCTCTAGACTCCTACCCGACAGGTCTACAGTTCGAATCCCCTATACCCTGTAACCTATGACGGCCTACCTACCACTGGCAGTCCTACAGGTCGCGGGTTCAACTCTACGGGTTGACACAGGTACTGTACACAGGTAAGGTGGGGACTAGGGATCAAGCCTGGGGATCTGCATCAGCTACTGCGAACTGGTGAATACCGTTTCACTCCCGCCGGCCTAAATTCGAGGTCCTCTGAGAATATTTCAGTCCAAGGCAGGACCTTTACCTTTTCTGTCCCTTTCGTAGGCCTTGACTATATCGGGAGCTGTCTCTAGAAGTTCGGCTCTGGTGAACCACCGGTCGTCTTCTGGTTCCTGATATGCAAACCTACTTTATACTGTTTCTGAGGACGACCTCGACCTCCTGTTCTAAACACGTCTTCACCTACAATGCCGTCAATGTCTTACCTTCCATCCATGTCTGGAGGGATCATGGAACGTCTCGATGGAAACCGGTCACTTATTGTGCATGGCAACAACTTCGACGCATGGAAAACTGGGTAGGTGTGGAGGTGTAATGGAATCTCTATCGAGTAGGACAGACCATCTTCTCCGCCTTTGACTTCTAGAACTGGCCACGGTCCCCTATATGCAGGCAGTAACTTTTGCGAGATGTTCTCCTCAGGAGAAAACTCTTGAGCCTTGGCCCAGACTAAGTCGCCTACTTGAAACTGAGAGGGGCGACAATGTTTGTTGGCTTGCTCTATCATCCTATGCTGGGGCTTCCTGAGGTTCTCTACGACAGTAGCTAGTTCTTTCTCGTGCTGTATAGCAAACTCCCTAGTACCGGGCGGTAGCCTATGGATCTGGTCCCGGTTAAGTCCTTCGAATGGTCTACGCGGTCTAAAGGACTTATGCAGTTCGTTGGGAGTGCGACACGTAGATAGATGCACACTATTGTTATAAGCACTGGCTACCTTGGGGAGCATCTCATCCCAGTCGACTTGATCTGGTCTAATGTACATTCTCAGAACTTGCTGCAGGATCTTATTCATATGTTCAGTCTGACCGTTGGTCTCCGGGTGACGGCCAGACGACATCAACAACTTAGAGCCATAGACTCTCATCAACTCCTGCCAGTTCTGACTTGTGAACCGGGTGTCTCTATCACTAACTATGGACAATGGGACCCCGTGCTCACTGACCCAATGATCAAAAAGCTTACGGATCACTAACTCCGTTCGTGCCTCAGAAGGCGAAGGGATGAAAACGGCATACTTGCTGAACCTATCGACTATCACCATGACTTGGCTCTTGCCATGCCTACTCTTGACGCCTGCGTCCATGAAGTCAATGGACACTGAATCTCCTGGCTGATCGGGAATAGGCAAGGGTCTGAGAAGACCTAGCGGGGCACTCGTAGTAGTCTTATTTCTCTGGCAAACCTTGCAACTGTGGACATACTCTCTGAGAAAACTTGGCCAGGTGTACGCGTGCATTAGATTGGCTAAAGTCTTTTGCCAACCAAAATGACCTTCTGTGCCGTGACATTCGCCTAAAATTAGACAACGGATCTCCTCACTATAGGGAATGCACAGACGGTCAACTACGTTAGTCTTATCGAATAACAGTCCATCCGTAGTGCGGTAATCTGGCTCGGTCTCAAGGGCCTCCTTCACTCGCTTGAGAAGGTCACTATAGATAGGGTCCTGCGCATATGCTTCTTTAACTCTCTCCTGCAGGTCTCTCCCTATGTCCAGATAGTGAACTATCGCTCCAAAGTACTCAGCTCTCCTACTCAGAGCGTCCGCAACTACATTATATTTCCCCTTGACTGGCTTGAGCTCAAAATCGTATTGTTCTATCTCTGCGGCCCACCTCGTAAGCTTAGGTGTCATCTTGGCCTGCGTCTTTAACCATCGTAACGTTTCGTGGTCAGAATAAACTTTGAAATGCCTCCCAAGCAAGTAGTGCTTCCAATGTTCTAGCGCTTGCCTGAGAGCGTAGAGTTCCCTCTCATAGGTAGATGTCGCAACCTTCTCTGAAGGCATTCTAGCAGACATGAACTCTACGGGCCTATAACCATTGCCATCGTCTTGCTGCAGAACAACACCTATGCTGTACTGACTAGCGTCCGTAGTGACGACAAAGGGTAATGACGGATCGGCCACCTTAAGGACTGGATACTCTATCAGTGCTTGCTACAACGATAGTAGAGAAGTTCCTTACGAACTTCCTATAATAATTTGCTAGGCCTAAGAACGATCGCAACTCTGTCAACGTACGCGGTGTAGGCCAATCCCTGATCACTGCAATCTTACTATCTTCTGGCTTGATGCCGTCTCCGTCTAAGACGTGGCCTAAGTACAAAACTTGGGTCTTTGCCCATTCACACTTCTTTGCGTTGATCTTGAAGTTAGCTTCTTTCAGCTTCTCCAAGACCTACCTGAGATGACCCTGATGCTCTTGGAGGGTCTTGCTAAACACTAGGATATCATCCAAGTAAACTACAACAAACCTATCTAACCACAACCTAAACAAATCATTCATACATCGCTGGAAAGTCGTTGGCGCGTTGGTTAGTCCAAAGGGCATCACGATGAACTCGTAATGCCCATATCTAGTCCGGAAAGTTGCCTTGTACTGATCATCAGGATGAACCTCTATCTGATGATATCCGGACTTTAGATCTATCTTCGTAAAATACTTGCACCCCTGCACTCGATCTAAAAGATCATCTATCCTAGGCAGTGGCTCAGCATTCTTTACTGTGATAGCATTCAGACCCCTATAGTCTATACACACTCTCAACTCTCCCTCCTTTTTGGGAACAAAGAGAACAGGGGCTCCAAAGGGAGACGAACTGGGCCTAATCCAACCCTTCTCGAGGAGCTCATCTAATTGCTTGCGCAATTCCTCTAACTCCCGCGGGGACATCCTATACACGGCTCCCTTGGGCGTTCTACTGCCAGGTTCTATCTCGATTCGATGTTGGATGGGCCACGGGACTACTCCTATCGGCGGCTCAAGTAGATCTTTAAACTCCTCCAGCAACTTGGCAATAGCAGGGTTTATAGGCTTTTCTTCCTTAGGCTCAGTTACTGGTCTAACATAGGCTACAAAAACCTGTTCCTCTAGTTGCTCCTTCTTCACTAGCCTTGCAAACGCAGGAGCGCTAAGGCAGCAATGCGCCAGGGAGTTGTCTACTCTTGACACATGGAACAGACGGGCAGTCTTGACGCCGCCTGACGGACTAGGGAGCCTACACTCGTGCTCTCTCAAATGGAGTGTGGCCCCTACTGCCTCTCCCCAGTCCATACCCAAGACTATATCAAACGGGAGGCTATCCTCTATGAGGAGAGTTAGGGAATGGAGGACCTTCTCCACTTTCCCATCCCTTTCTAGGCGGAAATACGCCTGGACTCCCTCTACATACTCTTCTACTCGCATGGTGCGATTGTCTGCGAGGATACTCATGATGGGGTCCGCTAATCTTTGGACTTTTAGTTGCAACGTCAGCTTCTGTAATGCCTTCCTACTGATATAACTACGAGTGGCCCCACTATCCACTAAGGCGCCAACTCGACCTCCAAAAAGCTTTGTGCCTACTAATATAAGTTGTCCCTTATTTTCCTTTTTTATCTTGGCCCAGGCAGGCATCCTCTCCTTTAATTCTTCACCCACGCCTGTGAGGGAGGTGTCTAGAGAGACTCTAACACAAGTCTCTGGAAAGTCATCTAGACACCGGCCTGCAACCTCTGTCATAAGCACATGTGGTGTGGGAGTCTCCTGCCGGATA